TTTTACTACTTTGATAAAGAATTTCTTAGAAATTTTCGTATTTGTCTGGCAATAATTAACTTTTACTACTTAGATTAAAATTTCTTATTAAGGAATACGAAGCATTCAATTTTGCCTGACGATTCTTGACTTTTACTACTTAGATAAAGAATTTCTAAGAAATGTTCGTATTTGTCTGACTATAATTGACTTTTACTACTTAGATCCAAAACTTCTACTAAACAATACGAAGCTTCCAATTTTATCTGATAGCTGTTGACTTTTACTACTTAGAGAAAGAATTCCTAAGAAATTTTGGCACTCGTCTGTCTATAATTGACTTTTACTACTTAGATTGAAAATTCTTACTAATATTGACATAATTAGTTGACATAATTTAAATTTTTACTAATAAAATTTTCCTTAATTAACAATAATTATTAAAACAATATTAACGATAATTATTAGAACAATTCATAAGTCAATAATTTAATTATAAAAGTATTATAGTTTGCAATTACTTATTGTCTATTACAATTAATTATTCATAAAAGTAACACAATTATCCATCACTTATTACAATTATGAATAATTATTCATAAAAGCAATATTAAAGTATGCAACGTATAAAATGTATAAATGTTGATGGGAAATAAATAATTACAAAGTGACAATTAGATAATAAGAGATAAGTAATAAAATGATGACATTAGTCGATTTTCCATTTAAAGAAAAGACATGTTTTTTTTACAAAAGTCAATAAAAACCTTCTTCACCATTAGTGTCAGCTGTCATGAAAACGATGGAAAGACACAATTACTGAAAATACACATATACATATATAATATATATTTGTTGGTTGTATGTATACGAATAAACATTGGAGTGAAACGCTTAAAGCCAGGTCGAGCATTCTTCACTCTTCCCCTTCCCCTCTTGTTGCCTTCCTCGCACTATAATGATTCTCGGCATCGTTCGAGCGTAAATTTTCCAGCGACACATTAATTACGTCGGATTATTAACATCACTATTGCCATCAATGAAATTCATAACGTCTGCCATTGCGCACAAAAAGCTTCTATACATAAATACTCTGTTAGATATCACCATCAGCTCCTATACAATCTAATTCGACAAAAGCTCTTCACATCCAAATTCTGTATGCTCAGATAATAACTATTACGTCAGAAACATAATGAAACTGAATAATTCATTGATTGCCCTTTTTCGACTCTAAAAAAAAAATTATACATATATTTGACACGAAACATGTTTTTTTTAAATCTAGAAAAATCTAGAAATCTAGAAATCTAGAAATTGATAAAAATAAAAAAAAGGGTGAAAAATTAATTTTTTTAGGGAATTATTTCTTCTTGGAGTAATGCAATGTCACTGGAGATGTGGTTATCCATGAACAAAAGAGCTTATGTAAAGTGGCAAGTGTTTCACAAGGAAGGGATGAAACTTCCATCTTCTGTCTCATGGCACTCATTAAAGAAATCTTTGTTGAAAGTGCGCATTTAGTGCTATAAAGGGACACGGAAACATGCGATAGAATTTAAATATCACTGCGCAAGGATAAAATACATAAATTTGGAAAATAATTTTTTAATATTTTTTTATTAAGAAAAATACTTTTTTCTTCTATAAATATATTTATTGTTTAAAGTATTACCAGCAACAATTCGCACGCTAAAGCGCGCGGCTAACTTCTTACTACCTTTTCTTAAATAAAATTAGCAATTTTAAAATTTAAAAATAATAGAATTTAAAAATTTTCTAATTTAAATTTTTGTTAAAAACACTACAAAAATTCAATTTTGAATAAATTACAAATAATTGCAGAAATTCAATTATTTAAAAATAAAAAAAAAAAAATTCTTTCTATAAAATTCAACTATATTCAAAATTTAAAATCAATTCTCGTAAAAATCTCAATTACTTTTATAAATAACAAAATTCTTCTCCAAAGTTCAATTATTTTCGTAAATGTCAAAAAAACTCTTTTCCTAATTTCAATGATTTTCAAAATTTTTTCCAATTTCAATGATTTTCAATACCTACTATATTTTAATTATTTTAATAAAATCATCGAATTGTTGCAAAGATATTATCAAAAAATTTGATAATAGAATTCTATTATCTATTTTATTATTTAGGTAAATAATTAAATTCTCGCAAAGAATTTTATTAAAATTTTTAAAAATCCAAATTCTATTCTTTTAAAGAATTTCTTTGAAATTTTTTTTAAACTAATGCATGGAGTTTCTTTAATAATTTTAATTGAAAATTTTAAAAGCAATTGAATTTTATGAATTTTATTTTTTTTTTATTTTTTTTTTTATTTTTTTATTTTTTTTTTTTATTTTTATTTTTTTTTATTTTATTTTATTTTTATTGAAGAATTTTATTAAAAGTGAATTGAAAATAATTGAATTCTTGCGAAGAATTTTACTATTTATAAAAATAGTTGAATTGTTTCGAAGAATTTATAAAAATTTTAGGACATAATTGAAATTTATGGAAATATTTTAAAATATTTAAATTCATCCGAGGAATTCAATTAAAATTGTTTTGAAAATAATTCAATTCCTTCAAAAGATTTTACTATTTATAAAAATAATTGAATTTTTGCGAAGAATTTTACTAATTATAAAAATAATTAAAACGTTTCGAAGAATTTATTAAAATTTTAAGAAATAATCAAATTGTTATATGAAGAATTTTAAAGAAATTTTTGAAAATAATGAAATTTTTTCGAGAAATTAAATTAAAGTTGTTTTGAAAATAATGGAATTTCTTTAAAGAATATTATTAATAATGTATTCAAAATAATTGAATTAATCACAAGAATTTTATTAAAATTTTTTTTAAATAGATTGAATTCTTTTTGGGCAATTTTATTAAAATATTAAATATCGAAAATCATTATAATGAGAAAAAATTTTTAAAATAATTGAACGTTGGGGAATAATTTTGTTATTTATAAAGATAAATAATTGGAATTTTAGCGATAATTTTTTTTAAATTTTGAATATAATTGAACTTTTTTAGGTGAATTTTATTACTTTTGAAAATAATTGAATTTTTGCAATTATTTGTAATCTCTCCAAAATTGATTTTTTTTAGTGTGTCTAACAAAAATTTAAATTAAAAAAATTTATCCTGCATGTCAAAATAAAACCAAAATTTAATTTCCTTTTTATTATAAAATAGACATTATAAAATTTTTGATTTATTTAAAAAAAATTAATATATTTCTTTAAAATTGTAATTAACAAATAGAAATTTTTCCAAAAGAAACGGAAAATTCTCTGAAATGATGCAAATTATTATTTCCATTTTTCAAAGAAAAGCAAATTTTGTTGAAAAAATTGTGAATTGAAATGAGCATTTTGCAAAAATTTTCTTTTTTTTTTAAAGAGAAACTCCTAATTTTGTGAAGATAATTGTGATTGAGAAGCAGAAAATACGGAAAATATTTTCTATGCCCTAATCTTAATTTTTTAACAATTTTCTAATTTTTTTTAAAGCTAAAAAAAGATAGCTGCTCAACTTTTTTATTTGCAAAAAAAAATAAGTTTTTTATATTAAAAAAATGAATGTTTTTTTAATGATTTCTCTTTATAATGACAATTTTCTAACAATATTCCAAGTTTTCATTAATTTTTCGATATTTCTGTTTTATAAGTGTATAATTTGTAAATCCAACGCAAAGAAATAAAATAATCAATAAAAGCATTTAATAATTTTTTTAGAATAATAAAGATAGTGAGAAATATTTTTTTAAATAAAGAAGTGAAAGAAATTGCGTTAGCAGTGAGATTTTGGAATAGAAGTTGATATGATAAGGATATGTCGTTATCTATATAGTCTCACCTAAAAGCTTTCAATGCAATCACTTTACCTTTCTCTCTCTCTCTCTCTCTCTCTCTCCCTCTCTCTGTCTCTCTTTGGAGGAGTTTTGCCGTGATCGCACTAGTATAGGGTAACGACGTCTCGATTTTATTGGCTGTCATCAATCGTTCCTGATCCCTAGCAGCAATTCGATGCGCGTTATCATTCTTTAAACTAAAACCCAGTCCTTTATATAAGAACCTTAGATGCAACTACCTATTTCGAAATAAAAATTAATGACTCCCAAGCCATTTGACATTAATTGTTTTTATTCCGAATTCCCCCATGCTAATAAATCTATGAGATTTTCCTTTAATTTTGTTCTTGAAAATTAAATATTATTGTTTTTTTATTTTCTATTTTATTGTCGAATTATTTTTATTATAATTATTAATAGTACTTTTTTATAGATACATACATTATTTTAATTACAATATTATAAGCAATAAAATTATTATCAAATAACATAAAATAATAATTTATTAATTATTTTAAGTTTAATTAATTTTTACTTTAATTCATATTTACTATTTTATTTATAATTCTAAAATTCTTTCTTATTGGTCTGACTACAATTGACTTTTACTACTTAAATGAGAAATTCTAAGAATTTTACAAATTAGTCTGACTACAATTGACTTGCACTACTTAAATGAGAAATTGTAAGAATTTTACGTAATAGTCTGACTACAATTAACTTTTACTACTTAAATGAGAAATTCTAACACAATTTTAATGTTTGTCTGACTATAGTCGATTTTTACCACTTAGAAGCATAATTTTAACGAAAGAAATACAAATTTTCGTCTTTGTCTGACAATTGTTGGCTTTTACTACTTACAAAATAAGTTTTTTAGGCATTTTTTTTTTTGTTCTAGACTAATATTATTTATATATCTATATAAAAAAATAATTATAGTTTTTTAATATTTGGAATTTTTTTCTTTAATTTTTGCCTAAGAAATTAAAATAAGGAATTAATTAGTAAATTTTTTAAAAGGCCACTTTGAAAAAAAATAAGAATGAACTCGGGCTCTTAAAAGTTTCGTTGAAAGCATCTTGATAATCTTGAAATGCATTTTGTGAGATTCTTATTAAGATGCACTTCCTTTAATTTGTTTTAGTACCGACACTAGATGTGGTGGCAGTTTCTGAACACTCAGCGAAATTACCATGTGATCTCACACCCAAGAAAGGCAACGAGATGGCTTTTATGGTCTTTTGGTATAAAAATGAAAATGGTGGCGAGCCCATTTACAGTGTTGATGCACGTTCAACATTAATCACCGAGGCGAAACTTTGGTCGAATCAAAAAATTTTTGGCGATCGAGCAAAAATGCGCACCAACACTAAACCTGCATTTTTGGAAATTAATCCCGTTTTACCCGAGGACGAGGGATTCTATACATGTCGAGTTGATTTTCGTAATAAGCCGACGAAAAATCATAAAATCAATTTCACCGTTATTGGTAAGTGGATATTTTTTTTTCTTTGGTATTTTTTATTTTTTAGGAACTTCATGTTGAGATATTCTATTTTTTAATTGTGGGATAATTGTTATTGTATTTTTCGAGAAGAATTGTTTTTTTTCGATAGAGAAATTATTTATTACGGTCGCGTCTGACTTTTATCGACTTTTACTACTATCGAATTATCCGACTAGAGTTTGCTTTTACTACTGACAATTGAATTTAAAAGCCTTTTCAATTACCAAATGAGAAAAAAGGGTGAATCAGGTAACTCATAAAATTGTTTACTGCAGTCTGACAATGATTGACTTGTACTACTGAAAATTTATTTAATTTCTATTCATCTTCTTAAATTTTAATTCATAGAATTGTTTACTGCAGTCTGACAATTATTGACTTCTACTACTGAAAATTTCTTTAATTTCTATTCACCTTCTTAAATTTTAATTCCATTGGACGAACGCAAAACAACTTGTGTCTTAATTGACCTTTACTCTACTTACTTTTAACGAATGAATAAAATTTTCCCGACTTGAACGCTAAATCATAAAAGTTAAAAAGTGATAAAAAGTATATGAAAAAAATGGTCCTTCTTTTCGGAGAAGAGACTTATCGTAGAGTAGGAGAAAGGGAAAAGATTTTTGTGCTAGATTTTAAGAGAGAGTGAGTGTGTAAAAGAGAGGGAGTTACGTAACTATCTCTTTTATATGTAAGTTAATGTCGCTTGCAAAATAACAAACGAGCAAAGAAAAGTTTCTTTAGTCGAAATTTCTCCATTCTTGTAATTAGTACCACCCGAGACACCGTTGATCTATACGAGTTCAGGAAACTTGGCCAACATACTGCATCCTTTCAACGAGGACAGTAAGCTGTCTCTAGTCTGCAAAGTCACTGGTGGAAAGCCTCCACCTCATGTTGTTTGGTACTTGGAGAACAAAATACTCGATGATAGTTACAAATCAGAACTAGGTGAAACAACGGTAAATCGTCTTGACATTCAAAAAGTCACTAGAGACTTTCAACGCGCACGTCTTATCTGCAAGGCGCACAATAGTCATCTCACTAAACCAACGACATCGGAAATTATTTTAACCGTTAATCGTGAGTATTTTTTTTTTCACCCTCCATATTATCAGTAGACTCTTATTGTTCTAATTTTCTTTTCTTAAGAAAGGTAATTTCTTTCTAAAAAAAAACCAATTGTTTCTACATTCAAATTTATTCATTTTTTGATAAAAAATAGTAAACAAAATACTTTGCAAAACAATTCGAGAAAAAAAATAGAAAGAAGATTTAGAAAAAATTTCTGAAAAGAATTAAAAAAATAGAAAAAAAGTTGGAATGAAGGTATTTAAAAAAATAATTAGAAAGCTATTGATTTCGAATTAATTGCATAATATTATTATTGTAATTTTTATTAAAATTATTATTATTATTATTTTGCTTAACTATTAGAAAAAAATGATTAAATACAATTTTTCGTAATTTGAGGATTATAAAATGATTGCAAATTGTTGGATGTTGTAGTTAAGCCGTTAATGGTGAATATTACCAATAAAACGCCACATTTGTCGGCATTGCGAACCTATGAGATCGAATGTGAGAGTATGGGATCGCGGCCAAAGGCAACAATCACCTGGTGGAAGGGCAATAATCACGTGAAGCATATGGCAAGAAATGTGAATATATATTTTCTATTTTCGCTTTAAAAATTAAAAAAAATAATTTCCTTTTTCCATGACACTGAGTTCTTCGTAGTTTGCAGAAACTGTTAACTTATCAAGAAGTGTTTTGAGTTACGTACCGACAATTGAAGACAATGGTAAATTTCTCACTTGTCGTGCCGAGAATAATTTGATACCGGACAGCGCACTCGAGGATAAATGGCCACTTGTCATTCACTGTAAGCAAAATTTATTATTAATTTTTAAATTTTTTATTAATTTTATTTTAAGTTTCTGACTAATTTTATTAATTTTTTTTATTAAATTTCTAAATTTTTATTATATTATTTTTCCAAATCATTAACAATACGATTGAATAATAATTTTACAGAAAAATTATTGGTTCACATTTTTTTAAAAGAGTAAAACATTTTTTTCATTCGAATAATGACATAATTTAAAAAAAAGATTCACGAATACATTTTGTAGACGCACTATTCGTTTAACGATTCGTATATATACTAGTCTCGGAAAAAAAGTCTACTGAAAATACAAGTGGTTTGTTCTCAATGACTATTGAGAGTATTACTATCGAGAGATCCAACGATCTCCTATTGAATTTCGAGGAGTGCACCCATCCAAGAAGAGTACCATTCAGTAAAAATCTGATGCGGACAAAATTCATTTTTCGACAACAAAAAAAAAAGAAAGAAAAAAAAATTTACTCTCTGATAATTGCACAAAACCGATTTTTAGTTTACGTTCAAAATAAATATATATTTTAACAAAATTTTCAACGTTTTTCAAAGAAATAATATTTTAAATGAATATTTTGTGTTTACAAATATTTTATAACAAAATTTTCAATAATTTTTAAAGAAACATTTCTTTTATAGTTACAAAAAAAAAATTTTGTTCACTATATTAATTTTAGGGATTTCATATTTATAGGTACAATTTTTTACATTATTCTTTGCAGACATGGAATGAAAATAATTAACAAATTTTATAAGAGTATTTTTCAATTTAGAAACAATGTTTAAAAAAGCGAAAATGTAGTATAGAGAATTAAAAATTTAATAACAACTTCCATAGAATGTAGAATATTTTTAAATCAAATTTATGAAAAAATATTTCAAATGTTAGTAAATTATTATAAATTCATTAAAGCTTGGGAAAAGTTTCATTTTGTTAGCAATTAAAAATTATATTTAATTTCTATTCAATGAAATGCGCATGTGACGAAAGTTTAAGTACGAAAAAGAAAGGGATATGCGTGAAATTGTTAATTTTAAGTTGAGTGAAATTGAAAAGCAGAAAGGTTTTAGCACTTGGACTCGTATGAGTGAAAAGGCTTGTATAAGCGAACTAAACTTAAGAATTACTATTTTGTCTATTTTTGTCTATTTTACTATTAATAAACTGTTTAGTTTAAAATAAAAGTGAAGGTGTTTTTTTTTGTTATTTTTAAATTATTATCAAATAATTTAATATTTAATAAGTTATAGGATTTTAAATATTATAAAATTTGCCATTTTATCATGTATATTTTACATATTTTTTGCACATTTTATATATTTTTACAAATTTTATATATATATTTTTTTTTTGCTTTTCATATGTTTTAATATTTAGAGAAAAAAATTTCTTTAAAAAATTGCATTCTTTGTCTGACTGTCGATATTTACTGCTTAGATTCAGAATTTTTTAAAAATTTTTTGCATTTGTCTGACTTAAGTTGGGATTTACTACTTAGAGGCAGAATTTATACGAAAACTTTTAGATTTGAGTGATTTTTACTGACATTTACTACTTAAAATTCATAAGTAATTTTTGTATTTGTCTGACTATAATTGACCTTTACTACTTAGAAGCAGAATTCATAAGTAATTTTCATATTTGTCTGACTGTAATTGACATTTACTACTTAGAAGCAGAATTCATAAGTAATTTTCATATTTGTCTGACTATAGTTGGGATTTACTACTTACAAACATAAATAATAAGTAATTTTTATATTTGTCTGACTATAATTGACCTTCACTACTTAAAGCCAGAATCCCTAAGTAATTTTTGTATCTGTCTGACTATAATTGACCTTCACTACTTAGAAGCAGAATTTCTAAGAAAACTTTAGGATTAGACTGATTTTTATGGACTTTTACTAGTTAGAGACATAATTCCTAAGTAATTTTTATAGTTGTCTGACTATAGATGGGATCTACTACTTAGAGTCAGAATTCTTAAATAATTTTTTATCTGTCTGACTGTAATTGACCTTTACTACTTAGAAGTTGAATTCATAAGTTATTTTCATATTTGTCATCTTTTTTTATTTATTTATTTATTTTTTTTTTATTTTTTTTTTATTTTTTTTTTCATATTTTTCTACTTAGAAGTAGAATTCATAAGTTATTTTCATATTTGTCTGACTATAATTGACTGTAGTCTTGACTATAATATAGTACTTAGAGACATAACTCTTAATTAATTTTCATATTTGTCTGACCATAATTGACCTTTACTACTTAGAGCCAGAATTCCTAAGTAATTTTTATAGTTGTCTGACTATAGATGGGATCTACTACTTAGAGGCAGAATTCTTAAATAATTTTTTATCTGTCTGACTGTAATTGACCTTTACTACTTAGAGCCAGAATTCCTAAGTAATTTTTATAGTTGTCGGACTATAATTGAACTTTACTACTTAGATGCTTAGTATTTTTTTTTGTTTACACACATATTATTCAAAAAAACGGTTATTTAGAAAAATTTTTTTCTACAAAAAATAATTTGACTTTTAAATAAAAAATTTTTTTTTCCATTAAAAAAAATAATGCTGACGTAGATGTGCCAGTGGTGACAATTCGACTAGGTTCGAGTTTACTGGCGAACGACATAAACGAGGGTGACGATGTTTACTTTGAGTGTGATGTAAAGGCAAATCCAAAGGCCTACAAACTTGGCTGGTATAAAGATGGGAAAGAGCTTCATCAAAATATCACTGCCGGTATTGTACTTCCTGGGGGACAATCTCTCGTTCTTCAAAGCGTGACAAAGAGTTCGGCCGGTGAATATTCGTGTATGGCCACCAATACTGAAGGAAAAGCAACGAGCCGACCCGTCACACTGGAAGTGATGTGTGAGTTGAAAATCAATACCACGCCATGATTAATACAACCACCGACATTATAGAAATTACACAGGGACTATCGAAATCCCAAGCGGAAATGTGCTTCCAATGCTTTGCGTTTACAATCAATATTGGTTCTGATATTGGATTGTATTTCTGGATCAATGACGCTATTATCTGCTAAACTTTCCGCTTGGGACTGTGCGTTACTTTGCTTTCGTTAAATGTTGCCCTTTTTTTTTTAATGGTATTTATCGCAAATTCATGTTGGAGATTTAATAAATTGTGTTTTTCTAGGAAAAAGTTTTTTTTTGCATTTTTTAGTGGAAGTGAAGCTTAATTGGTGGATTTTTTTTTATAACGATTTATAAGTAATTTTTTTTCCTCCTTAGCTGAAAAAGCTCTACAGAATTTCACTGGAATGATTGTATAGAATTTCTACATGAATTCCACTAAATTTTAGTGATTTTTAATTAGATGGAATTTAAATTCGTGAAAGAATATTTTTCAATTATTACTTTTAAGAATTTTTCACTAAAATTTCTCTTTAAATCAATTAAATTTCAAAAAAGTTTTACAATTTTTAAAATTCATTTATTTACAATATTCAATTTTTGAAAAATTTTAATTATTCGTAAATTCTTCAATTAAATATATGTATATTAGAAAATAAAAACTTCAAATTAATGTAAAAAAAATCAATTACACTTTTCAAAAAAATTAATTTCAAAATTCAATTATTTCTAAAAATTCACGTTATATTACTTTTAATACGTATTCAGTTATTATCTAAAATTTTAACTGAAATTCATTTTTAAATCAATTTTTCTTTAGAAAATTCTATTAGAATTCAATTATTTAAATACAAAAACAAATAATTTATTGAACAATTAAATGTTTCTTAAAATTTAATTTTAATAAAAAATTTTATAACCAAATTTTTAAATAATTCAATTCTTTTGACGAATTTTAATAAAATTTTTAAGAATAGTTCCATTTTCCGAGAAATTCGTTTAAAATTGTATTACAAATAATTAAAATTCTGCATTAAATTATATTATTCATGAAAATAATTGAATTATTAAGAAGAATTTTATTATTTTTGAACATATTTAAATTTCTGCGAAGGATTTTATTACTTTTGAAATCAAATGAATTTTTGCAATAATTTGTAACTTCTCCAAAATTTAATTTTTTTTTGCTAATTAAAATTTTACTATAAATCCATTATTTTTAATAATTTTTGAAAAAACTTTTTTGAGAATTTTCAAATTTCATTTGTTTTTAACTGAAATTCATTTTTAAATCAATTTTTATTAGAAACTTCTATTAGCATTTAATTATTTAAATAGAAAAAAAATAATGTATTGAATATTTCAATATTTCTTAAAATTGAATTCTTATAAAGAATTTTATCAACAAATGTTTAAATAATTGAATTCTTTTAACGAATTTTAATAAAATTTTTAATAATAATTACATTTATCAATGCATTTTATGCATTCGATTAAAATTTTATTAGAAATAATTGAAATTCTACGATTAGTTTTTAATAAAATTTTTAAGAATAATTACAATTTCGGAGAAATTTGATTAACATTGTATTAAAAATAATTTTAAATTCTGCATTGAGTTTTATTATTTATGAAAAAAAAAATTGAATTCCTAAGAAAAATTATACTATTTTTTAAAATAATTAAATTACTACGAAGGATTTTTAGTACTCTTGAAAACAATTTAATTTCTGCAATAATTTGTAACTTCTCCAAAATTAAATTTTTTTTACTGTTGACTAAAATTTTTCTATAAATCCATTATTTTTAATAATTTTTTAAGAGTTTTCAAATTTGATTTGTTTTTAACTGAAATTCATTTTTTATTCAATTTTTATTAGACAGTTCTACTAGAATTCAATTATTTAAATACAAAAAATAATTTATTGTATATTTCAATGTTTTTTAAAATTGAATTCTCATAAAGAATTTTATCAACACATTTTTAAATAATTAAATTCGTTTGACGAATTTTAATAAAATGTTGAATAATAATTACATTTATCGAGGAATTTGATTAAAATTTGATTGAAAATAATTGAAATTCAGCGATGAGTTATACTACATATTTATAGAAATAATTAAATTCCAAAAAAGAATTTTATTGAATTTTGCAATCATTTGTAATTTTTCTAAAATTTTTCAAATTATGTCGTACAATTTACGAACTTTTTGTCCTTTTTTAAGGACTTTAACTACTTGATTGCAAATTTTTTACATTTACCAGATTATCATTGACTTATACAATTTAGAAGAAAAAATCTGACAAAAAAAATCGTATTCAGTGGATTATCATTGACCGTTACTACTTAAAGTCAAAATTTTAATGATAGAATTCAAAATTTTCGTCTGACAATTGTTGACCTTTACTACTTAGAAGTCTGACTATAATTGACATTTACTACTTATAGTAAAAAGTCGTTTAAATAAAAATTTGTTTTAATACAAATAGGAATAGTAAAAAAATGTTAATTAAAATTCACGTAAATTGAAATTCTTCTATTTGAAAATTCAGTTTATTCAAAATTTCATTATAATAGAAAAATTCCAATATAGGGAAATTCGACTTATTTTAAAAGTAATATTTTAAAAATAATTCGACTTAAGAAACTTAACAAAAAATGATTCGGATCGATATTGTTAACTTTTTCCTTTAATATATTTAATAAAAAATGCTAAATTGAAAAAGATATTAAAATATTAGTTCTGTTTTTTTTTCATTTGAATTCAATAGATTCGCCAATGTGTAAAGATGGATCATCAACGCAAGTGGTGGGTGCACTGAAACACGAGACAATATCATTGGTGTGTGGAGTTCAATCAAAACCACCGCCAACAACTTTTCATTGGACTTTTAATAATTCTGGTGAAATGATGAATGTCCCACCCACGAGGTATACACAGGTGAAATCACTACGATTGATTACAAACAATTGGCGTGGCTCCAGACTGAATTACACTCCTGCAAGTGACATGGACTACGGGACAGTTGCGTGCTGGGCAAGAAATAAAATAGGAGTGCAAAAGACACCCTGTCTCTTTCAGATCATTGTCGCTGGGAAGCCATACAGTCTGCAAAATTGCTCGGCCCTTCAGTCAACAGGACCCTATGCATTTCGAATGGGTAAGATGAAAAAAAAAAAAAAATTCTCCCCTTTTCTCCCCTTTTCCAATAACTTCTATTATACACAAACTCATCCCTTATTGTTATAACCCTCGCCCCTACTCCTCTTCACTATTTCCCCCTCCCCCTATTGTCATCTTTATATCCACTGTCCTCCCTCTTTTTTTTGTTTTTATTCGCCTTTTATCGTTTACCTTCACATCAATTTTCCCGTCTTCTTACTGCTGTTATATATATATATTTCTCCTGGGTTCTTTCATAATAATTTGTCTCGGCTGATTTTTGTCTGTCTATTATCGACCTTTACTACTGAAATACTAATAAACACTTCTCGGAATATTGATCCTTGGGGTTATAAACGAGAGTGGAAATTTGATGGTGAAATTTTTTTGATTTGGCTGACTTATTGTTGACTTTTACTACTTGGGGGAAAATTGTGTAAGAAATTCGCATTTATTTTTGAAGAGTTGTTGACTTTTACTACTTACAGGGATGCGTTCACGTACCTTTCATTTTTAATCGAAAATTTCCCTTAACATTTCTCACTTTCTCTTTCACTCAAAAATTTTCACTTTTAATTTTCTTTAAAATTTCTCTCCTTCTCTTTCACTCAAAAATTTTCATTTTTAATTTTCATTAATATTTCTATCCTTCTCTTTCACTCAAAAATTTTCATTTTTAATTTTCATTAAAATTTCTCTCCTTCTCTTTCACAGAAAAATTTTCATTTTTAATTTTCCTTAAAATTTCTTACTTTCTCTTTCACTCAAAAATTTTCACTTTTAATTTTCTTTAAAATTTCTCTCCTTCTCTTTCACTCAAAAATTTTCATTTTTAATTTTCATTAATATTTCTCTCCTTCTCTTTCACTCAAAAATTTTCATTTTTAATTTTTATTAAAATTTCTCTCCTTCTCTTTCAATCAAAAATTTTGATTTTTAATTTTCCTTAAAATTTCTCACTTTCTCTTTCACTCAAACATTTTCACTTTTAATTTTTCTTAAAATTTTTCTCTTTCTCTTTCACTAAAAATATTTCCAATTTTACTTTGAATTTCGAAGTTTTCAATTCAAAATCAAAGTGAAAAATAATTTGTGTCAAAGTAAACACATTGTCAGTGACAGTGAGAATTTTTTGAGTGAAAGTGCAATTATTTGAGTGAAAGTGAAACTGACAATTTTATGAGTAATTGTGCAAATTTTTTAGGAAAAGCGAAAATTTTTTCAGTAAAGTCAACATTTTTTTTTAGTTAAAGTGAGAATTTTTTTAAGAAATGTAAATTTTTTTTGAAATAATGTGAAAGTGACAATTTTTTTAGTATAAAAGTGAGAATTTTTTTAATGAAAGTGAATACTTTTTAAGTAAAGTCAACCATTTTTTTTAGAAAAAGTATGATTTTTTTAAAGGAAAGTGAACATTTTTTGAGCGAATGTGAAAGTGACAATTTTTTTAGTGAAAGTAAAAGTAAGATTTTTCTTAGGAAAGTGGAATCTTTTAGTGAAACAGAATTTTTTGAGTGAAATCGAATTTCTTTTTAGTATAAAAGTGTGAATAATTTTAATAAATGTGAAAATGTTTTGAGTGAAAGTGACAATTTTTTGAGTGAATGTAAATATTTTTTGAGTGAAAGTGAGAATCTTTTTAACGAATGTCAACATTTTTTGAGTAAAAGTAAGAGTTTTTTGAGTGAAAATAAAAATTTTCCTGCTGCATGTGAAGATTTTTTGAGTGAAAGTGAAAGTTACCTGAACAAACCCAAGGAGGAGTTTTTCGCAAAATTTACAAAGTCGGAAAGAAATTTCTTATTTTTCCTCATTGGATTACAGACGAAAAAAGTTCAACGGTATTTAATTTCATTATTCTCAAATAAATTTTTCAGTGAATGAAGTAATTCGATATTCTTATTTGTACTTAATTTTATAAATACATTGACTAACATTTTTATTGAATGACAATAATTGTTTAAACATGAACCAACTTTGATTCAGAATCAAGAAGTCTTATTTATAGTTTCCGTCTGAGTGTTGTTGACCTTTTCCACTTAAACAATATATTGTTCATGAATCAATCTAATATTTAATAAAACACGAATAAAGTGATTTTCAAATATTTCAAACTATTTCTGCTTGACAAATATTGACTTTAACTACTATTCAAGAAGAATTCGTTAATTTACACTCAAATGAATAAATAAATAGGACAAAAATCAATTAATTGCCTTATTTCATTGATGGTGACTCATGAATGAAAAAATAAATAGTGAGCCATTTTCTTTTAATTATGTAGCAATGTATACTTTCACATTAATTACTTTGGTAATAAATATTTCTAAACTAATGATTGTTTTATTTTGTTCTTGTTTAAAGCTAACAAGTTAAAGATATATTCTTTGATTATTATCGTTCATTATTGCTTATAAATATTATTGTCAACATTGATTCAAGACTAATAAATGACGAAGAAAGTGCTTTCGGCATTTTTTTCTTTATTTGTCTGACAAATGTTGACCTTTACTACTTTTGGAAGGAAACTTTCACTTGTAGAGTAATAAATACTTTATTTTGATTAATTATCGTATTATTTAAATAAAAGGTAATTTTGAAATCGATTTTTGTCTATTTTCTTTTGTTTTACTACGAAAATTGATTTCGATTGTTATCAATCAACCATCGGGTAAAAATCCAATTTTACGAATTTATTTCAATTTTGCCATAACAAATATAAAAGCTTCTATCGCTTTTCTAAAAATATAAAAATCCAGATAAAATCGATATTTAGAAAAATTTCAAATATTTATTTCATTTATTTACCATTTTCAATTTAAATATTGAAAGTGAAGAACAATTAAAAATCAAATTAACAAATTCTTTTTTCTAAAATAAAAAATTTTTTTTGTAATATAAATTTGCTTTTTTAAAATAATGGAAAATAGAATAAAATTTATAATTTTATTTAAAATTTCACGATTTAGTAAAAGTGAATTTAATTTTTGACTATTAATTTGTGATGATACTATAGAAATTTCCAATTGTTTTATGACAGGACATGACGAGTTTAAGACTCAGGATTCAAGAGAAGTTGACTGGTTAATCGTGAGATGTAATGAGGGTTTTGACGGTGGATTACCGCTGACTAGTTTCGAACTGGAAGTATTTAGCGAAGATAATGATGAGCATATGAACACGATTTACATAAATCGCACTGCAGGTTATCCTGGACCAATTTTCGAGATTCCTGGATTGGAGCCAGGGAGAAATTACAGACTTTTAATTTATGCCGTCAACGCTAAAGGACGCAGTGATCCTGTTATCCTTGAGCCCATCACATTAAAGGGCGTTGCAATGTACACCACTGGTGAGTGATAAAAAAAAATTACATTATAATTAACATAGAATAAAAATTTAAAATGGAATATAATATTTTTTTAAACTTTGCGCCACCAACGATTTTTGTATAAATAGTCTGAGTGTAGTCTGACAATTAATAAAGAATATTCGTCGAAATTTTTGGGAATGTTTTTACAATTTTTAAGTTTTACTACTTAAAAGATGAGTATAAGTGTAAAATTTTTCTATTCTACTGACTATCGTATTCTACTTAGGAGAGTATTCTACTACTTAGGAGAGGAATTTCTCAGAAATTTTCATATTTGTCTGATTGTAATTGACCTTTACTACTTAGAGGCAGAATTCCTAAGTAATTTCCGTATTTGTCTGACTACAGTTGGGATTTACTACTTACAAACAGAATTAATACGTAATTTTCGTATTTGTCTGACTATATATAACATTTACTACTTAGAGGCAAAATTCATAAGTAATTTGTTTATTTGTCTGACTATAATTGACCTTTACTACTTAGTGGCAGAATTAATAAGTAATTTGTTTATTTGTCTGACTATAATTGGCATTTACTACTTAGAGGCATAATTCCTAAGTAATGTTTATATTTGTGTGACTATAGTTGGGATTTACTACTTTGATTCAGAATTCAGAAGTAATTTTCATATTTGTCTGACTATAGTTGGAGTTTACTACTTACAAACAGAATTCATAAGTAATTTTTCTATTTGTCTGACTACAATTGACCTTTACTACTTAGAGGCAGAATTCCTAGGTAATTTTCATATTTGTCTGACTACAGATGGAATTTACTACTTAGAGGCCAAATTCCTAAATAATATTCGAATTTGTCCGACAATTGTTGACTTTTACTACTTAGATGAGTAGAAGCATTAATTTAAAAAGCTCGATAGTCATTGGTAGCGCAAAGTTTTATATTAATAATCGATTTTTTTTTAAATTAAGTCAATTATTATCAAAATTTAGTTTTAGTTTTCTTGCATATTAAAATTTTCTACAACTATCAAATTTAAATAGAAAAATACCGATTTGAAGCACAACAGAATTAATTCCCCAATCGGAATTTCGTAATTGAGGAAATTTCTAACGATTGATTCTAATATGAGAACAAGTGTAATATCACCTATATAATGAGATGCAATAACCTGTTTGCCGCCTGATTAGCAATAATTGCATAATGCATCGCCTGTAACCATTTCAAGGTTTAATGTTCGTTACACGTTAATTAGTTTCTATCGTTGAGAATCTAAATGTCAGAAATTATATATAATAGATTCCAGTAAATAAAAGAAAAACAAATTTTTTCCACATTCATATATCTATAAATGTAAAAATAACAAAATTTCTCAATGTAAAAATAAAATTTTCCTCTTCCTTTTTCTTTTTTATTAGAAGAAAATTCTTTTTCTGTCGAGAGAGTAAAATCGTATATGATGTATGATGGTTGATTCAACCTACTTCTTCTTGCTTTTTTTCACTCAGGGAAGAATCAATTTATCTTAAAAAGGTGTGTGTTTTTTTCTCGTTCTGTCATACATAAAAATAACTCCCCCGCCCTCCTCTCGCCCCTCCTCTTTGCCCCGGACCAAAAAGAAGTAAACGGAAGTTTGTTCGTGCTTTTTTTCATATATATATAACATAATCTCGTGCTTCTAAATTTATTAAATCGGGGGAAAAAAAAGTTATTCGTCATTTTTTATTTAGTGATAGATTTATTTTTTTGGGGTGATTCTTTGCATAGTGGGTAATTTATTATTATTATTTGCTCTTTGGATAATTAAATGAAAATCGAAATATAGGAGTTTTCTTTTTAAAAAGAAGATGAAAATTATTTTTTAGTAGGAAATATTCTATAATATTTAAAATGGCACGAATATTTATATGGAATGATTAGAAGCATTGTACAAATATTTGAAGTTTAACGAAAATATAAAATTTTAGAGTTTTGGGCACTTTTTTTTAAAAATATGTTGATGAAATGTCTTTATAAAGTTCTTTGGTTTTGGATTTTGACAAAAATCGGCTAAAAAAAATTACTTGTTTGCTTAGAGGTGCATTTAATTATTCATTTATTATATAATTAAGCTCGTGTGTATATGTCAATGGAATGGGGAATATTAAGACGCTACTGAGACATTCAAGTTCTAACACATCTCAAGAGTTGTTCGGTTGCTTAGCCACAATGGGTCTTTTATATTATGATTAATTACTCAAGAAAGTGAGGAGGAGGAGTGGGGGAAGCTTAATGAGTCGGTGACGCGTTACACAAGATGCCAAACACACACACTCTCTGGTTAACTCCCTTTCTCTCTCTCTCTCATATTCTCTCTCTCTCTTATTCTCTCGCTCGCTCGCAAGGCACGTGATGCCATTACACCGGTTTCTGCGGATTTTGAAAATGGAAGGGATGGGGGTTATATAGTATACGTTCTATATCTCGATCAGCTTCACTCTCTTATTCTCATACTCGAAAAGCTTTTCCTGCGGACCCTGAATTAAAATCCCATAAAGTCATGGTCCCTTTCCTCGCGGGCGGCTGTCTCATTCGGTGCGCATTTATCGTCTTTAATTTCCATCCTCATGGATTATTCATGCCACCACAAGAATAGATTCGTATGGGTGCATGTGAATCCTCCCCCATTCAAGAGAAAGAGAGAGAGAGTGTATGCTCATACATGAAAAGGTGAGTAGGTGAAGAAGAGGATTTTGGAAAGGGCATAGAGCCTCTAGTTTTAGTTTGCAGATTTTCTCTCTTTATTATAAATATAGTACAGTTAGCAGAAGTATATATTTTTTTTTAAACTCCTATTTTTTAAATATAATTTTTTAATTTATGCAGTTTTTTATTTTAAAATTACGCTTCTTGAATCGAAAGTTTATATTCAAAAGTCTACTGACGTCTATTCAAAAAATTTTTTATTCAAAAATTAGAATAAATCAGAACACAGTAAATCGTGAGGTATTAAAAAGTGTTTCAGATTAAATTAACACCAAAAAAGATTAAAATAATCAATTTTGGTGTTATATTTTTTACAATGAATAAAATTTTAGTTTATTAAATTTTTTTATATAAAACATGAAGATATCGATAACTCCGAGTCATCGACTCGGAGTCATTAATTTCTTCCTATTTTATAATAATTAAAGATGACCAAGTAATAAAATCATTATTTTATATTACAAAAATATTATACTTCTTCAAAATTATTTTCATTATTTTGATTCAATTATTATTTTCAAAAATTTTTAACTACAATTTTACTTTATATCAATTATTTTGAATAATTTTCGAAAAAGTTCTTTGGCAATTTTCAAATCCATTTGTTTACAATATTCAATTTCATGAAATTTCAATTATTCCTAAATTCTTTAATTAAATGCATATTAGAAAATAAAAACTTCAAATAATATAAAAGAAAATTCAACTAAACTTTTTCAAAAAAAGTAATTTCAAAATTCAATTATTTCTAAAAATTCACGCTTTATTGCTTTTAATATTCAATTACAATCTAAAATTTTAACTGAAATTCATTTTTATGAAATGAAAATCAATTTTTATTAGAAAATTCTACAAGAATTTAATTATTTAAATGCAAAAGTAAACAATTTATTGAATAATTGAATGTTTCTTAAAATTCAATTCTCATAAAGAATTTTATTGACAAATTTTTAAATAATTAAATTCCTTTGTCAAATTTTATTTAAACTTGCATGAACATAATTACTTTTTCAAGAAATTCAATTATAATTGCATGAAAAATAATTGAAACGCTGCGATGAGTTTTATTATTAGTAAAAATAATTGAATCCTTAAGAAGAATTTTATTACTCTTGAAAATAATTAAATTTCCGCAATAATTTCTAACTTCTCTGAAATTAAATTTTTTTTATTGTTTTTAACTAAAATTCTTCAATAAATACATTATTTTTAATAATTTTTAAAACAGTTCTTTGAGAATTTTTAAATTCATTCGTTTACAATTCAGTTTTACAAAATTTCAATTATTCGGAAATTCTGCAATTAAATATTTATTGGAAAATAAAAACTTGAAATAATTTCAATAAAAATCCTATTAAACTTTTAAAAAGAATTAATTCTACAGAATTGTTTGTCAAAAAATATGAAAAAATGAGAATTTCAATGATTTTAATTTGAAACTTTTTCAAAATTTAATTATTTCTAAAAATCCACGTTATAATGCTTTTAATATTTAATTATAATCTAAAATTTGAACTGAAATTCATTTTTAAAACCATTTTTATCAGTAAATTCTACGAGAATTCAATTATTTATATACAAAAATAAATAATTTATTAATTCCATGTTTCTTGAAATTAAATTCTCATAAAAAATGTGATCAACAAATTTTTTAATTATTAAGTTCTTTGGACGAATATTAATAAAATTTTTAAGAAGAATTACATTTTTCGAGGAATTCGATTAAAATTGCATTAAAAATAATTGAAATTCTCTAATGAGTTTTATTATTTATGAAAATAATTGAATTCCTAAATAGAATTTTATTATTTATAAAAATAATTAAATCCCTGTAAAAATGTTATTATTTATGAAAATAATTGAATAATAGCGAAGAAATTTATAAAAAAATTTGTAAATAATTGAATTCCTGTAAAATTTTTTATTATTTATGAAAATAATTGATTGTTTGCGTAGAATTTTATTGAAATTTTTTTTAATAATGGAATTCTTTTGGAAAATTTTATTGAAATAGTAGATATTGAAAATCATTGAATTTTAGAAAACTTTTGAAAATAATTGAAATTTTGACAAGAATTTGATTAAAATTTTGTAAAATAATTGAATAGCAGAGAAGAATTTTATTATTTATAAAGAGAATTGAAATTTTGACGAGAATTTTTTTAAATTTTTGAACACAATTGAATTTAGTAACTATGTTACTAAGTTAGATAGTATCGTCGAAATAACAATTAAAACAATTGAATTAGAATGGAATTTTATAAAAAAACAATTGACATCTACTTGGAAGTAAAATTTTTGTATTTGACTGATAATTGGCCTTTACTACTTAAAATAAAAGTCGATAGGAAAATTTTCATATTTGTTTGACCGCAGATGATGTTTACTACTTAAAAGCGAAATTCTCACGAAATTTTCATGTTTGTCTGACTATCGTAAATTTGTACTACTTAGAAGCAAAAATTCCTTGAAATTTACATATTTTCTAGTCAATCATTGATTTTTTTTTCTTAGGGGCAAAACTTCTAGTAAAATATCAAAATTTTGTCTGACTATCATTGACTTGTACTACTTGTACCACTAATTTCTGTGAAGCTTTGTTTGCCCGACTATAATAATAAATTTTTACTACTTAGAGGCAGAAGCCCTTAGTATTTTTTGTATTTGTCTGGCTATAATTGACATTTACTACTTAGATACAGAATTTTCTGGAAATTTTCTTTTTCGTCTGACTGTCGTTGACTTTTACTACTTATATTCATAATTTCTACAAATTGTCTTGTTCGTCTGACTATTGTATGTTTTTACTACTTAGTAGAAGTTCTTTTTTGTATAAATAAGGCTATAGGTGAAGGGGAGGGGGGGTTATTTGAGGAAGAAAAGAATTCGAGGGCTAAACAAGAGATTGAGGAATGAGAAAAAAAAGAGAGGGAGGGACAGTTGACGGCTCATGGGACAAGTGCACGTCCGTACGTCTGTCCGTCTTCTCTTGGATATATCAAGCCCCCGGCTAACGAACCGAAGCGTTTTCTGAATTCCAAATAGTACTTCGCTTTCGGAGTGAACGTCTGCGACTATTCACGTTGCGGATCGTCCCTCTTAATCTTTGCTTCCTGAACTTTGTGTTTCATATATCCGTAATCCAATAAAAAAAAGAAATTTCGAATTTGTTTTGCGGACACGTTCCAAAAATTACCATCATAACAGTGTGAATGCATTAACTGCGAACAAATTTCGTGTTTCTTAACTTCGTAAATAAAAAGTAAATAATAAAATAAGTTAACCAACTTATACATAAAAAAAAGTTTTATTTTATTTTTTCTATTTTTTTATTTCTATTTCTATTTCTATTTCTATTTCTATTTTTCTATTTATTTTTTTCTTCTATTTATTTCTTTTGTATATTTAAAAGTTTAAATTATATTAATTTTTCCATTTGCTTTTTCTATTTTTTTAATTTAATTTCTATGGTATGGTTGTTGATCATTTGAGGAAAAAGGAAAACCATTATGTAGATGTAAATGGAATTAAAGTTGAAATAAAGCGCGGAAGTTCTTTTTTGATAGTTTCAACCGCAGACTTTATCTTCTTTCTTACGCTTTACAATTTGAGAAAGTTTTCTCTCTGTTTGACTTTACCTTTTCCGGACCTTTTTCTTACCTAGTTTGGATGACCTTCGTATAACCCTTAGCACAGTCAATGGATTTAGGAACTTAAATCTTTTTTCACTTTGCGGATTGTGGAAAATTGCTTCCGTCGTAAGGAGAAAGAGAGAGAAAAAAAACAAAAAGTAATAAAATATTTATTATCTCTTTAAAAAAAAAATTATATTATTATAATCGACATAATATGTCCCCTCACGTGAAGTTAGTGTTGTTTTATTACAATCTTTTGTTTTCTAATTCGAATTGCTATGTCAACAGTTTGACAGTTAAATTATTTTTCTTTAAAATTTTCTGAATATCAAAGAATTCGGAAGGTAATTTAATATAGAAAGATCAAAAAGTATTGTGGTTAATAAAAATTATTTTCGATATAAATTGTTATTGAAAAAAAGTGTTAAAATTTTACAAAAACGTGGATTTAAAATTTTCCAAGTTCGACTTAATTGTTTTTTTTTTTTTTAAAGAGAAATTCTCCTCATTTGTTCGCAGGACGTGGAGCATCGGAAGAGTCAACCGACTATAGTTTGCTCATTGCTTGTTTTGCCGGCGGTCTAACTGCCGTTTGTATTCTAGTCGTTGGCATTACATTGACTCTCTATCGTCGTAATCATTTTATGCAACCAATGAAAACACAAACTCATATTGTTCATTATGAGCCGAATAATGATGATTACAACAATACAACGGCGCCATTACAAAAAACCACATCGAGACGAGAGGAGAAAAATTCCACAAATAATATCATTGAATTGGGAATTAATAATCATAATAATAAGGATATTAATGATACAGAACCGCCAGACGATGATCCCGATGTGATAATTTCAAATAAAATTGAAAGAAGGCCGGATATTTTCGAGCCAAATTACACCACAACACCAGAGAGGATAAAACATTTGGAGAAGGCGGAAATTTTCGATTATTCAACGAATCATTCTTCGGTAATGGAGAATTGGATATTTCCCGATGGCTATAGAGAGAGATCGGAAGAATTGAGTCCCGTTAGGCCGACAACACTTCCGGTTCATCGGAATCATGATATTTATACTCGAAGTTTGCGTGTTCAAGAGAGTTGTATATAGAAAAAAAAATTTCAATTGCTTTCAAAAACACACAAAAACATACATTTCATCATTTTTTGTGACAAATTTTTTCGCGGTGTACAAGATTCGGTCTGTTTGTACATAGGGACAATAAATTTCATTGTTAATAAAATTTAACTAATTTTTTCCTAATCTTTTTTTTTTCCTTTTTTTGCCCTTTTTATCTAATGATTTCTGACCTTGTAAATTTAAATTTCTAAGTTTTTAACTTTTTAACTCGATTAATCATTTTTCAGAGATTTCTACAAGGTAAGTGAGCATTTACATTTTACTCTTTTATAAATACTATTTTTTTCTCACGATTTTAATTAAAAATACTTTTAAAAATTTGTAAAAGGAACTAAATAATATAGTAAAATTTTAGTAGTAAAAAGCAGAATTCCCACATTGTCCACAAAATTTTGTAGTCGCCTCACAATTATTGACTTTTACTACTTAGTCTTATAATTCCTACAAATTTTTTTTTTTTGAGTGACTTACAGTAAATTTATAGTACTTAAAAGTAGAAAAATACTTAAAGAAGGAATTCATAGGAAACTTTTTTGTTTGTCTGACTATAGAAAATGTTTACTACTTACGCCCAGATTTCCCACGAAATTTTCAAATTTGTGTGACAATTGTTGACTTTCACTACTTACAGAAAGAATTTCAATGGAATTTTTCTCTTTGTCTGACTATAGAAAATGTTTACTACTTACGTCCAGAATTCACACGAAATTTTTTAATTTGTCTGACATTTGTTGACTTTCACTACTTACAGAAAGAATTTCAAAGGAATTTTCCTCTTTGTCTGACTACAGAAAAAGTTTTGCTACTTACATTTAGGATTCCCACGAAATTTTTTAATTTGTCTGACAATTTTTGACATTTACTACTTATAAAAAAATTCCTATGAAAATTTCCAAGTCTTATGTTTAATTTCAGTTTAATAATTATTTGAATAAAAAATTTCAAAAAATTATTTTCGCCTGACTATTGTTGACTTGCACTACTTATAATAAGAATTTCTAACAAATTCTCGTATTTGAAGGACTGCCGTTGACATTTACTGCTTAAAAGAATAATTCTCACTAAATTTTCTAAATTGTTTGACTATTGCTGATTTTTACTACTTACAGAGAAAAGTTAAAAAAAATTCTTTTCTCTCTTTCCTGCAATTGTTATTTCTGACTTTTACAATTTAAAGAAAATATCCCCACGAAATATTTTTGTTTGTCTGACTATAGTAAATTTAAACTACTAACTACTTTTAATAATTACTGACGAACCTACAAAATTTTAGGATTTTTCTGATTTTCATTGACTTTTACTACTTAGTGGAAGGAAATACAATAAATTTTTTTTATTATTTTGACTATCGTTGACTTTTACTACTTAATTCAATACGAAATAAAATTCATATAAAAAAATTTGTAATTATCTACTTGTCTGGCAATTGGTGACTTTTCCTACTTAAGAGTTATAGATTAATTTACGTGTTCGTCTGATAATAATAAATTTTTACTACTTAGAACCATAAAATCAGAAGTTCTGAAAATTTTTCATATTTGTCTGAAAATTGTTGACTTTTACTACTTACAGGAAGAATTTCTACGAAATTTGTATGTTTGTCTGACAAATAAATTAGTTTATTTAAAAAAAAACTACTATCTAGTAACTTTTATTACTTAGAGACAAAATTTACAAAAGAATTTTAATTTGTCTGATTTGACGACATATACTTGGGAATAGATTCTTAACAGCCACTTTCACATTTTCAATTTCAGTTAATATTTGCTGCTTAAAGGTAAGTTTCCTATTAAATTTTTTTATTCGTCTGACTATTTTTGACTTCTACTACTTATTGTGTAAAATTGCTATAAAATTTTGTACTTCGTTCAATAGTTGAATACTTTTATTACTTAAAAGTAGAATCAGAATAAAAATTTCGTTTTTTTTCATGCTATTGACTTTTACTACTGAAAAGCAGAATTCTTATCAAATTTTCTTCATTCTTTGAGACAATTATTGACTTTTACTACTTCGTGAAAATTCCTACAAAACTTTTTTGTTCGTCTGACTATACTTAACTTTTACTACTGTTATGTAAAATTTACCATAAAATTTTCTTACTTCTCTGACTATTGTGGAATTTTACAACTTAAAAGGTTTTCTACAAAGTTTTCTTCATTTGTCTGACTATAGTCGATTTTTACTACTTAGAAGCTAAATTCCTGGAAATATCGGATTTCGCATTTCGCACAATTGTTGACCTTCTATACTGACTTTCTAAATTCGTAAACCTGTAATTTTATAAGTTATAACCCATTAACTTTTTAAACTTTTTTCAGTAATTTCTACAAGGTAAGTAATTATATATTTACAATTTTTTTCTTTTAAAGATTTCGCAGAAAGAAAATTTGGGGTTAAAATGTTATAAACGACATAGAAAGTGACGCCACCTTTATGAGGGGTAAATATTGTTGCATGTTATTTTAACATAACATTTCATGTTAAAATAATAATTTTTTATTTTTCGATAGAAAAAGGAAGAAAAGCGGCTTTTTCTTGTAGGAGAAAATTAAATTATACTATTTTCTGATTGAAACTGAAGAATAGACCATACAAATGATATTTTCTTTGATTTATTTTTCATTGAATCGTTGGGTTGGACGCTTTTGTTGAAAAACTTCGTTAGAAGCCCAATGACCTTATACGACCTTTTGGAAAAATATACTCTTCGATTTTCTCTCTTCGAGGGAGGAAATTTTTTCGTATTATCGGGTCTTATATTTTATCTTGATTCGAAGTCGAGAGAAATTGCAAAGTTTTTGGTAAATACGATAACGATAAATCATTCTCTGAATTTCAAAGACAACGTGTGTGGAAATTCAGTCTTTGCTTCTAACACAATTCTAACAAACAGAATCGGAAATAAAGTGCTAGTAACATAAGGACACGATTGCTTTCTTTATATATAGTGTATATATAGAGAGAGAGCGAGAGAGAGAGTGATGGAATCCTTTTTGCAAAATGAGCTGTCGTTTCGTAAGTCGGACCCGTATTCTTACGTTTTCTGCACACTGAAAAGGATGACAGTCCATAGAATCTCAATCCGCTTGACATTTGACAGTTTCCGTAAACAACTCGCAATATTTTTCCCCTTCTGCCAACTGGGAATAAAATAGGGAAATAGAAATTCTCTAAAGTTGAAATTATTTCTATTTTTAAGTAAAGAAATTAATTTTTTCTTTATTTTTATAATTTCAATACGAAAGGAAAATATTTTTTGTTTATGCGAATAAAATATTTATTTTGCTCTTTGTCAATAAAAGTAAATTCCTTTTTTTGAGAATGAAAATGTATTTTTTAGTTTGCGAATAAAAAATATTTTGTTGTTTAATAATAAAAAATATTTTGAATATTTTAAATCAAAATATTTTAAAAACATTTTTTTTGTTCTTTGACAATAAAAATTTAAAAAAAAACATTTTTTTTATTCTTTGCCAATAAAAATAGATTTTTTATTTTGAAGAAACAAAAATATATTTTCTTCATTCACTAGAAACGAAATTTATTTTTATTGTCAAGGAGCAAAAATATTTTTTATTGGAAAATAGAAAAAAATAGTTTTTTGAAAAAAATATTTTTAGTCACAAAATACAAAATACTTTTTATTAATAAACAAGAAAATATTTTTTATTCGCAAAATACAAAATATATTTCTTCATTCACCAGAAACGAAATTTATTTTTATTGTCAAACAGCAAAAATATTTTATTTTGCAAGAAACAAAAAGTATTTTGCATTTTGTGAACTGAAATGTGTGTTGAAAAATATTTTTTCATTTTAAAGAAACAAAATATATTTTTATTGGCAAACAGCAAGAATAGTTTTTTGAAAAAAATATTTTTAGTCACAAAATACAAAATATTTTTTATTATCAAACAAGAAAATATTTTTTATTCGCAAAGTACAAAATATATTTCTTCATTCATTAGAAACGAAATATATTTTCTATGTTTTTGACTAAAAATGTATTTTCTTTTCTGACTAAAAATATATTTTATTTTTTGACTAAAAATATATTTTATTTTTTGACTAAAAATGTATTTTCTTTTCTGACTAAAAATATATTTTATTTTTTGACTAAAAATATATTTTATTTTTTGTAAACAAAAATTATTTTGTTTCGGGAATAAAATATACTTAACGTCTGAATAAAACTTGAGAATAATAAAATTCTTTGTGAATAGAATAAATATTTTTTGTAAATAAAATAAATTTTCTTTTTTTCGTGAATGAAAAATATTTTCTATCCGCGAGTAAAATAAATTTTTGTTACGAAGAAAAGAAACTTTTCTTCTGAATAAAATAGATTTTTTCTTGCGAATAAAATACATTTCCTATTAAATACATTTTGTTACCTATAAATATTTCTTTGTTTATTTTTTTTACAAAAGATATGTTATGTTTAGTTTGAATTATTATTTTCTCTTTTTGTCAATAAAAATAAATTTTGTTTTTTGTGGCAAAAAAATCAAAAACATTTTTCCCATTTTGTATAAACTTCTTCAAAATCAGTTCTTTGTAATTTCAAAAATCGTTTGTAATTTCTATAAATAAAATATAAATTTTTTTTCATTTTCGTGAATAAAACGAAAAAAAAACATTTTACAACGAAATCAGTCAAATTAAAGAAACGTATGTGTATATCAATAAATATCAATTATCCGCTGGTCGGTTACCGTATGCGGGTTGGTTTTGCAAAATTGCTAGTTTCATGACAACGTGAAAATTCACGCGTCATGGCCGAGTGGTCGCGGGGAGTTGAAAAAAAAAAATCATATCCAACCTCGGCCATTAGAGTTTCACGTCAACAATGCGCGACGAAATTATTTTCGCTTTATCGCTCAACTAAATGAATTTCATCGCCCATTTTCCACTGTGGAGGAAGCCGGCGTGCAATTTTATTAATAGCATAGCGTCAAGCAACACACGAGTCCCAAACGAAATAATTTTCTCAATGTTTACCAAATGAAACGAATTCGTTTGCTGAACATTCAATCAACACACACGAGAATTTCATTTTTTTTTTATTCAA